TATTGGTACCATTAATTATTTACCTCTCAAGATAGTTTATACTAGTTTTAAAAATTATACAAGTAGTATTTCAATATACCTATGTATTCTATTTTTTTTATTCAAATTTTTCTAAATAATAAGCGAATACGTGCTCGTATCTATCTTTCACAGTGTAGTGGCGGTGTAAGAATATTAACTAGCCCATATCAGTGTAGCAATAGACAACAAAAGAAGAGAAATTAGGAGATGGGCAGCAGCGTCTACTAACCTAATACCTAATAATGACTGAAATTAAAAAACGGCGGTTTACATAATGATTTCTTTTATTTACGCGAACACTACACATTGAATAAAACTACTTTTACGGATTTTATCGCGTTTAATTAACTTATTTTTATTAAATTCCCGACGTTTCGGGTGCATTAGCAGCGCCCATAGTCACGGGGAACTGAGGTGATTGACGTCTCGATGTCAGAGTTAACTTTCAGCTTTTTTAATTATTACTTTTGGTCCGATCTACGGAGAATGAACTTACTGTCTTGGAGTCTTGCAGTGGTATGCTTGGGTTCAGTTTTAATTTAATAGTTACATGATCACAAACAGGTCACATATCCCTCGTGCTCTCTGTAGCAAAGATTTGCCCACGGTAGCTAACTGTGAAGGATGATGGTGGGATTCACCGTTTAAATATCGGTTTGAATGAATATTTTTTCTACATACAGTTGCTAGGATTTCGTATGACTAACATATCTAGGATTACATAAGGCTGAGATCTATAGACCGTATTTTGACTTTCCTCAGACTTTACTTTCGAGCTAAGATATCTAACGTCGGTATTTATAGAGCTAGCTTCGAAGTCGTGCTGAGTGCGTGCTTAGCAAGGCCTAAGTCAACGATATCGACGACTTACGTAAAACTCAGGATATTATTAAAAACCACCGTATTAATTTTAAATTGTTCTTCTTATGGTACTCTAATTAATTAAAACAATTTATAGGTAGTTTTAGGCCGTCTTCTAATTTTAAATAGCATTAATCTTTTTTCTATTTACGTAATTTCGTTCTTATTTCGAATTTCTTCAAATCTTATTTTTGTCTTTTTTTCTGACTTTGCACTCATCTCATCCGTTCCCGTTCTCATACAACCGTTTTCTATGTCATGTAATAATAAATAATTTATGAAATACAATTTGGACTATTTTCGATTTTAAATATAGGTATATATATATTTTTTTTAATTTTATACAGTAATTTTGATTTTAAATATATGTACCTATTATTTAACTTTATACAGTAAAGTCAAAAACATAATGCGTGGAATGAAGCATTCATTAATATTTGGACTGTCTGGACCTTAGCATAAGCTTAGCTTAACCTTAGCCCGATACTACTATAAATTCAGAATCTAAGAATATGCTGAGCATATACTCAGCTAGGTTTGTCGTAAGCTAAGTCTGAGCAAAGTCAAAGTACGATCTATAGATCTCAGCCTTAGATTTGATGAACCACAAATTCTCGCGAAAAAACATCGATTCCTGCCAAGGATGATACGTGAGGCTATTGAAATTAAAAAAACATCCTAATTCCAATAGAGAATATCTGGGTAATATCTGGGTACTATCACCTGCTTGGGATCCTGTAATTAATTAAATTAAAACTAAACCCAAGCATACCACTGCAGTACTTCAAGACACAGTAAGTTCATTCTGCGTAGATCGGACCAAAAGTAATAATTAAATAAATTGTGGTTGCCAACCCGCTTGCTAAGCGTGGCAACTATGGCAAATATCTCCCCTATGAGGCAATCTATGGAGAAGACCTATGTTCAGCAGTGGCCTTTAATAGGATGTAACGGTTTATAGGTATCTTTCTTAAAAAAATATTGACGTAAAAACTAATAAATTATTTGATTGTTTTCATCCTTAAAAATCTGATCATAATATTCACCTAGTAAATAAAATCGATTACGAATCTTGACTCTAAATATTTATTTATTTATTATTATATCCACTTACTACTATCATTACAGGATTGTATTATATTTAAAGCACTAGAATTCTCTCCAGTTTTGAAGAAGCCTCTATTAGGCGTGGTATTAGATATAGGTTATAAATATTTGTGTTGTAAACTCGTTACTATTACCTAATATCATGTTGTGTTGTGTTTTGATGTTATGCTGATTCGTGTACCTAAATAAATAAATAAGTGGTCAATACTTAATCCGCACATGAACCCGGTTCTTAGTCGGCTGAGCACGGATGTGATGTTAAATCTTTGTAGAACCGGACAAATCTGTCCTTCACTAGTCTTGCACGTAATCATGGATTATACTTTTTTTCTTCACACAGTCTTTCTTTCAGAAGAGCACAAACACATGTTACTTCTACTAAATCCATATTGTACTGCACTAATCGGCCAACAAGAAAATGTTTAAGAGACACCGCACACTGCAGACTCTCTATCGGGCGAGAATTTAGTCGGGTTCAATCACAATCAATCAAAAACAATTAAACAGTCGAGTTAGTGTCGAGTGCGCACACTAGCCAACAGTAGGCTGATCGTTTGCGAAAAATTGTAATTAGTAAGCAGCTCTTGGAGTAATCGCGTAATGAAACATAAAATATTCTCCTGAAATGTTATTATTATTGCTATCATACAATAATGGAGACGGATCAAGAAGAGAATTTGCATCCAAGAGATGTTGCATCCCTTTGCATTTTCTTTCGCTTTCATCACGGGGAGTGCTCTGAGGAATTGTTCGGATTAATCCCAGCCACCAAATTTCACGAACACACATCGCGGCAGAACTCCCGATACCATCCACACCATCTGGATGATTGGCGGTCCACCACTGTGCAGTTTAGAAGATGTTTTTTTCCTCGTACAACTTCCTTGTGGAATCGATTATCATCAGCGATTTTTCCGGACCGATACGACTTAGGGACCTTCAAGAAAAGAGCCTACTTCTTTTTAAAAGCCGGCAACGCATCTGCAATCTCCCCTAGTGTTGCAGTTATTCATGGGCGGCGGTAGTCACTTACCATAAGGTGAGCCGCATGCTGGTTTGCCCCCTATCCTATATTAAAAAAAAGAAACCGAGAATACTGTGTGCATCTTGTATACAGTGACCGATTACTTCTTCCCACAGCCTTCTCTGTAAATTAACATCTGCGTACTCTTTTAGCTGTTTCTTATAAAGCGCAGGCCGTTTTCTACCGACTTCATAAAGCAGACGCTACTTCATTCGCCTGTATCTTTTTTTCTTTTTATATGTGATAGTTTATAAATTTTTTTGTTGAACAGATTTCGATGATTCTTTTTTTAATTTGAAAGCTGGTGCTTCTTATGTGGTCCCTTATAAATTGATCAAGGTTTGATCAATAGTTTTTAAGTTATTCTTAATAATATATATTGAAGTCGGTTATACAAAATTTTTAATTTTAAATTATTCAACTTCCTCTATCAGCTGTAAAATAGATAATTCGACAAGTAGCGCCATTTTGATGCATGCGTACGTCTTCACCGCGCCAAAATTCTGAGCAGAATGACGTTATCGACGTATTATCGACCGAGTCGATCGACTAAACAATCGGCGTATATGCGCGCGTCGAAGAGCGCCATACTGATTTAGCGGTTGGCCGATAGTTGATCAACAGTTTAGTTTGAAGGGAATCGTGTAGCCCATCAAACTGATTTATCGGCCGATAACTAATTGATATTTATTTATAATTAATTACAACGGCTTGCGCCAATTACAGTAATTAATAGGTAAAACTAAACATATAACATAATTAACATAATTCAAAAACAAATAATAAGTCAGAGATCAAACATACTTAACAATAACTAGAGAAAATAAAATAATATAAAACAGAATAAAGTGATAACAACATACAACTTATTTACCTAACAAACATGGCTTTCACATAACATGAGACAGTTTGACATGATCACCTTGAGTGTGTCATTAAAGATGTCACATTCCGGGACTGTCTCCAATAAGGAGTTTATAGCACCATGCATGCGACACAGCGGGGATTGCGCGCGAGACACAGTGCGGCAATGGGATGTGGCGAACAGCTGGTGTCGTCAACTAAGCCTATGACACAGGTAGTTGTTAGGCACATAAAGTGTACACAAAGTATTGTGGAGCTCTGCGGAATCGACCATGCTCCTTAAAATTTTTATGGCTATTAGGATCTGATATCTGGCTAGTACAAGTCTACAAGTCTTGATTTGATTTCCCATCCTTCTTACGCTTCACCTTCCACCTCGTGGTCTTTATTGATTCAAATAATAAGCTCTTTGCACATTCGATCTCCTCTGTGGAGAATGACGTAGAACATATACGCACAATACTCTCTTCGTACATGACGTCCATCTTATTTTGTATGAATGCCAGGAGTTAACAAATAACTATATTACAAATACTGCACTTCACTTTATTTGACATTATTGCAACATCCTGATTTTTCTTTTTGTTCAAAATCCGTTTAATAATATTAAAAATTTCCGATAAATACACTAAAAATACAAATTATAAAATTTTATTTCTGCATTTCATGACAGTGACAATAATATGCGCACTTGCATACATTTAATACTGATTAAGAAACCGACTAATCTCTCGCCCGATAAAAGTCTGCAGTGTACGATATTTCTAAGGCGCGCTGAAGTTGATCGCACCCCCACAAAACAAACGTTCCAAACGCCAACTAACTCCACAATCGGCAGATCACAACCAACCAATGATCTTTAGCTTCCACGCATGTGTAGCATAATACTTTTCATATAATATGTTACTTTGGTAGATAAGTCGGCAAACAATATAATTATATTTCTACAACGTGGCTTGTATAAAACAGTTTTAAAACATTTATTTTATTATTTAAAAAATATTGCAGCACAGAATTTTATTAAAATAATTTATAAATTCAACCCACTACTTTTTACAGTTGTAAATGTTAAAACAATACAATATAACAAAAATAAATAAAGAAAATATGAACGATTTTTATATCATCCCTTTGTCTTAGTTTCAACATCACTGACCAGTGAGAAGATGTTCTCAGCAGTACACCTCTTGTGAATGTCTAAATAGTTCTTGCAGGTCACCCCACATTCCTGTATTAAAATCATAATTATGCATGTTAAAATTTTTTTCATTTTATTATCTTAATTTAACAGTGACGTGTCATTGTTATTTCGTGAATATGCTAGAAGCCAACTACGGGAATATTCTAAATTCTCGTCAACTTCTCTTAACAACTGTAACAGTTCCCTACTGTATATGTACAATGGGCCTAGGCCTATCCAATAGTATGGAGGATTTGCCATTATCACCTCACTTGATAGGCGCATTATCGCTCCTACCAAAAGACGCCTTGGGAAATGGTGGCTGCTCTTGGTCGCAATTCTGTAACAAATATATACCTACGAGATACCATATATCGAACGCTGTAAAATATTTCTAGCTTTATCATAGTCCCCATGGCATTAACATAATGATATTACTGTCATTTGGTAACTACAATTGAAGTCAATAAAGTCGCTAAAACTAAAATAATCTAGAACAGTTAAAAAGAAACAACGTCTCAACTTAAAACGCCCTAACTTGCAATAAAGTATCTATTTTTTTATATAGTATAGAGTGACAAACGAGCACACAGTCCACCTGATAGTAAGTGGCTGCTGTGGCCCATAGACATCTACATTTATCCTCGTTTGCGAATCAAAATGCAGATGCGTTGCCACCCGTGAGGACTAAGATGGTATGCCTCGTTTCCAGTAAAAAGGGTCTCCGGTTCTCTACACTCACCATACGAAACACAGCAGTGTTAAGCTGCTATTTGACGCTGGTATTCTGTGAGAGCGTGGTCCTTCCCCGGTTGAGCCGACCCATTTGTGCTACAACTATACTATTAATATAGCTGCAGCATGGCTCTACCACGTACAGTAGTCTCGGTGATCCGGACCCCGTCTAATTCGATGATCGCGACAGCACGGATGTGGCAGTCATAACGTCATCATTACGAAATCAAAAATGTTTAGTTCTCGGTAATCTATAATACTTGCTAACTATATAGAACAAGCAATTAGATATTACGTCCATTTTATGCACTTTGATTAGTATGTTGTCGATAACATGAGTGTGAATAAATATTAAGACTATGATATGATACTATGAAGTGGGGCTTCATCTTGAAAATATTTTTTATAATGATATCTTATATTTTCGCTTATTATTAAATTATATTATTTATTTTATTATTAAATTCCCGACGTTTCGGTTACTTTACATCACCCATGGTCACGGGGGACTGAGGTGATTGACGTCCCGATGTCAGAGTTAACCCGGAGTACCTTTAGCTTTTCTAATTATTATTTTTGGTCCGAAATATCGGGAATTTAATAAAAATAAGTTAATTAAACGCGATAGAGTCCGTAAAAGTAGTTTTATTCAATTTTTTTAATAAGCATTTTTCTCTTACATTATCTCATTCAGACACCCCATAAATCACGGCCGCCGTTTGTTTTTAAGGGTCCGAAGTAACGAGGCTCCACTGTAAACTGATCGACTGGGTGACGATAGCGATGATGCTGAAGTAAGGGAAAAGGTATAAAAATTATATTTACCGGGCCAAAGAAAGTCCGCATCCAGTTTTGAGACATGACACATAAATTTTTGTCTGCGACACAGTTTTTGATAATCAACTTAGTGCTAGTCTGTAATAGAATGAATAAATTACGATGAATAAGATGTCATTTTACAAAAAGTACCGACACACTTTAAGATCATATTTTATAGCAGCTAACATAATTGGAATAAGTATTACGACGTTATAATATATTTTTACTTCGTAGCCAGCAAATTATGACGAAAAATATTTCCATAAATATAAGCATACTAACCTTGACTGGACTGCCTAAGCCTTCAAGACGGTCACGGGGCAATAAAGGCATTGTCGTCCAACGACAACACGAGTCCTTGCTAGAGCTAAGCTGTATAGGCATACGGTCCGTGGAAGATGGTGCACCTTCTGGCGTATACCGAACATATAATGGTGGCGACTAAAACAATTTTAATATTCAAACCTTGTGAAGTGGAAATGCGGAAATCAAAAGACTATCAATATCATTACATAAGTAGCAAAAACTTGCTTTGTGTCGTATAACCTTATCCTTCATCAGCAGCAGTATTTAAAAGTCTCCCGTTAAATAAAGTATTTGCCTTTATCTCCACGCTTATTACGAGTAAACGTATACTTTTCATGCTGCTTCCCGTCGCCAGTCTCAGATGCACCATTTACTGCATCTGTCTCTCTGGTTTTAATAGTGAACTCTTTTCGTAATTCTACATTAGAGGTTATATAATAAACATTAGTAATGACTATACCTGAGGATCTCCATAGTTTTCTGCCCTCAGAAGAAATTCGTCACCGTAGTTCATTTTTACACCACGCAAGCTTTCGTCCTTTGCGCTACAATTACAAATTCAGTTCAATGCTTTTGTCTAAGAATACGGTTAAAATGCATGCTATTGTACTATTTGTTTAAAGTGCTACCATCATAATATGATAAACACTTAAGATTTGTTTCGATGACTCGTTTGACAGCACCTACTCTACGACAAGGTCAGTGGATGCTGTTACTCCTAGAGACATAGATAGATATTGCAATCCAGCGTAGTGGGATCTCACAATCGCGGTACTTAAATATTATTTATACGTGGTAGAGCCACGCTGCAGCTATATTAGTAGTATAGTTGTAGCACAAATGGGTCGACTCGACCGGGGAAGGACCACGCTCTCACAGAATACCAGCGTAAAATGGCAGCTTGATACTGCTGTGTTTCGTATGGTGAGTGTAGAGAACCGGAGACCCATTTTACTGGAAAAGAGACATTCCCTCTTAGTTATCACGGGTGGCGACGCATCTGCATTTTGATTCTTTATTGAGGATAAATGTAGATGTCTATGGGTCACAGCAACCACTTACCATCAGGTGGACTGTGTGCTCGTTTTTCACCATGCAAGTATAAAAGGCATGCCTCGTTACCAAAAAAAGGTTCTCCGGTTTTGTTTTCTTTGTTACAAGGAAGCTCACAATATGAAACACATTTTTATTGCATTATAGTGAAATAAAGTCTTCCTTATAGTAAGTGGTTACTGTAGGTCATTTATCGTTGCATCTAACCCCATACAAAAAATGCCAAAAATATGTTGTCAACTAAGGACGTGTTCAGGATACCTTGTATATTATTTTAATGTATCAGGTGAATACTGTGCATAGTAATTTATTTGCCACAATTTTTGCAGGTATTTTAGTAGTGGGGAATTTAAAACACCTCTTAACTCCAGCGAGCAGCAACTCTGACCGATAGCAAGCTTTTCTTTTTAACATCTCATCTATCTCGACATACAAATAACCAGGAAACACGTGTGATGCAGTGTGTTAGGAAGGAGGTACATTTTATAGTGGTGGTATCATTGTCGCATTTTCTAATTTAAATTACTTGGAATTGATTCCAAATTAAACATGAAATTATGCAGCTATATATTGCTGCGGCACGAATGTGTCGGTTTGAATGGGGTAGGACCACGCTCTCACAAAATACCTGCGTGAAACAGCAGAATAAAGCTGTTGTGTTTCGTATTGTGAGTGTAGAGAACCGGAAACCATTTTTACTGGTAAATACATGTAGTTCTCAGGAGTAACAACGCGTCTGCATTTTGTTTCTGACTCAAGGATAAATAAAGGTGACTATGGGCCACAACATTCCCATGCCATTAGGTGGACTTTGTGCTCGCTTGTCACCTTATTCTAAAAAATTTAAATAAATAGTTATTATGCAATGCAATAGAAGCAGGTGAACCAGAAACCTCCATATTCAAACTCTTGGCTAAGTTAAAATGTAAAAAATAGCATATTTCATACCACTATTAAACTATATTGGGTTAGGTAAAACTTACCTATCTACTGACTAAGAAGTTCTTAATCAATTGGTTTTTTCCAATTCAATTAAATTTTTCATTATCATTACAATTACAAAACTATCAAGTTTAAATTAAATTACATATTAAATTATTTATTTGCAGATTTAAATATTACAGCTTATTTGGAAATATGGAAAAAAAATCAATTGTAATCATAAATCTAATCGATGGTAACATTATCATCAATGATGATGAACATATTTTATAAGTAGTCATGAAAAGTTTTCTTGTGTTTTACTACAACAGTTTCTTATGACATTTCGCTATACATATAATATTATAAAGAGACAAATGTAGCAAATCATTAATTAAAACCTCAGTATGACGAAAGTGTTCCGACAACAGGGCGTAGTGATTGGCGACAGGGTCATAAGGCATCCATCATCTATGTTCTGGATATAGTCTACTTGCCGCTCACTCACCAGACTGGATAATGCCAAACCATAACGCGATTTTCCGCTACTTGCGAAACCTTCAACTGGATAGCACAAATACAATATAATTAAGAACTTGTAACTAACTAAAATAACTAAAATTGCTTTGTAATAGCGCCATTTACTTCATTCTACAGATAAAGTCTAAAAATAAAGTGTTATCGAGAAAAATTGGTTAACTCTCAAAGAGGTATACGTAAAATAGACGCTTGATGGCCTGAATTTAGGAAATCGTGGATTATTATGAATGGATTAATAATATCGATATAAGAAATAATGAATCATCTTATGTACTTACCGAACATAGACTTAGCACTAAGAATTAAGGAAGGCACTGTTTTCTGAGATACAGGTTATAACCTAGTTCAGGAGACAAAGCTCCTTTGTATCTAGAAAAATTTGGTTGCTAATGAACGTTATGTCATTATTATTATTACTGTATATACTTCTATCTCTCGCGGGCCAAATCCCATAGGTGTATATGTTTGTCTCTTTTTAGTGTTGATTTTTCGTTCCATTGAATTTCAAATCACAGCGATTCTAAAGAAGTTTACACTTCAAAAGATTGAAAAAAAAACTAAGCCCTTGTCCCTTAAAATTTGAAATCAGGTCACTGTTGGTATGCGCCTGTGCTTCTATTTCTCCCCTCCCGCGTCCCAAGGCCCACTAACCACTTACTCTCGGCTGACTACCAGAACCCAATGGCGCTGGTGGCTTGTCTAAAAAATATTTTTGGTTTTTTCTAACCAGGTCTGATCTTGGCCCCACCCAGAAATAAATATATATTCCTTAAAGTATTATTTTGCTCTCTTCTCAAGTCTTAAATTGAGATGTAAGAAGTAGCGTAACGAGAATATTAAGTTTAACCCTTCCACATTTTAATAACTCCAAATCCACGCCTGCAACTGACTGTATTGTTTTATATATTTTTTTAGTTACAAAATATATATTTCTGTAATTGTCTTTAGCATTTAAATTTATTACGGGCAGCCTACGATACGTAACATTCGGACAACTGTATCATTGTTATCGTGAATACTTACAGCAGTATAATGCGGCGCTTTATCAATTCCTATAGTAAAACATTTAATTTTTCTTGAAAGAACTTTTTTTATTATCAGGAAGTTGAATTTAAGGGCCAAAATTAGGCAGCTTGGTAAGCTGTCACGTATTTAAGTATAGCAACACCACGCTGCAGTTGTAAGAAATGTAAGAAAATATTCCACTTCTATTTAAATATTAAGTATTTAAATAAAAGAACACTACTCGGTAACAAACCCTGCTTACTATCAGGACCCCAATTACATGATTTTTTTTTATAGAAGAGAGGGCATACGAGCATGCGGCTCACCTGATGGTAAGTGACTACCGCCGCCCATGAACAACTGCAACACCAGGGAGGGAATCACAGATGCGTTGCCGGCCTTTTAAAAAGGAGTACGCTCTTTTCTTGAAGTCGTATCGGTCCGGAAAAATCGCTGATGGTAATAGATTCCACAAGGAAGTCGTGCGAGGAAGAAAACATCTTCTAAATCGCACAGTGGTGGACCGCCAATCATCCAGATGGTGTGGATGGTATCGGGAGTTCGGCCGCGATATGCGTTCGTAAAATTTGGCGGCTGGGATTAATCCGAACAATTCCTCAGAGCACTCCCCGTGGTAGATGCGAAAGAAAATGCAAAGGGATGCAACATCTCTTCGCAGTGCCAATGAATCGAGCCGATCGGAAAGGACTCGGTCGTCGACGATTCGACCCGCTCTGCGCTGGATGCGGTCAAGTGGAAGGAGCTGGCAATGGGGAACCCCTGCCCAGAGATGGGAACAGTATTCCATGTGAGGCCGAACCTGCGCCTTGTAAAGTTGCAGGCGGTGTGCCGGCATGAAAAACTGTCTCGATCTGCTGAGCACGCCAAGCTTTGTAGAGGCCAATTTGGCCTTCTCTTCCAAGTGACCACGAAACTGCACGTCACTCGATATGTCGACTCCGAGGATTCCGATACTGGCTGAGGCAAGAAGGGGAGTGCCTTGAAACTGAGGAGATACAACAAAGGGGTTCTTTTTAGCGGTAAACGCGCAAACTTGTGTCTTCTGAGGATTAAACTGGACTAGATTTAGTCGCCCCCAATCCGAAACTTTGTTCAGCAAAGACTCGACTTCAGACACCAGTTTGTTCGGTACTCGGCGACGTTTTCCCGAGAAATATTGACACGGCCGGTGTATAGAACATCTCCAGTGCTGTCATCCGCATAGCAATGAATGTTACCAGTTAGCAACATATCATTGATATGCAGAAGAAACAGCGTAGGTGATAGCACACAGCCTTGTGGAACACCAGCGTTAATAGGCTTGTAGTCGAAGCATGCACCGTCTACAACGACCTTGATGCTCCGATCTGCAAGGAAGCTGGTGATCCAATCGCACAATTTCTCGGGAAGCCCATAGGAAGGCAGCTTCGAACGAAGCGCTTTGTGCCAAACCCGATCGAAGGCCTTCGCAATGTCCAAACTAACGGCCAACGCCTCCCCCTTGGACTCTACTGCCTCCGCCCATCTATGGGTCAGGTAGACCAGAAGATCACCAGCTGATCGACCCCGACGAAAACCGTATTGGCGGTCACTAATCAGCTGGTGATCCTCAAGGTACCGCATGAGCTGGCAGTTAATAATGGATTCCATTATTTTGGAGAACAAGGAGGTGATGGCGATAGGCCTGTAGTTGGACGGGTCTGAGCGGTCGCCTTTTTTAGGGATCGGGTGGACAAAAGCTGTCTTCCACGAATTCGGGACTACGCCTTGGGAGTAGGAGTACTGGAAAAGACGCGTTAGGACCGGTGCAACTCTGGAGCACACGTCCTCAGCACAATTGGGGGGATTCCGTTAGGCCCACTCGACTTCTGGATGTCCAGGGAGAGGAGTGCTTTGCGAACCGAGCGCTGTGAAAACAGCACATCCGGCATGGAGCACTCACACCGCGGGATGGTCGGCGGTGTTTTCCCCCCGTCATCAAGAGTCGAGTTGGACGCAAAACGGGAGCCTAAAAGGTCGGCTTTGTCTTTTGCGTCTTGGGCCAGTGAGTCGTCCTCCCTGGGCAGAGATGGTAGTGATGGCTTACAGAAATTCCCTTGGACAGCCTTGGTGAGAGACCAGAATGCACAGGTTCCCAAAGGAAGGCGAACTAGTTTCTCGCCAACTCTGCCTATGTGCTCTGACTTTGGCTTGGCAATAACTCTTTTGAAGGACCTGGAGGCGAAGTTATACTTCTTTTTAAGTATGCTGGTGTTTACATCTCGAGTCGCCGAAGCCGCAGCCCAGGCTTGATAACACTCCTGCTTACTGCGTAATGCAGTCTTACAGGAGCGACCAAACCAAGGCTGAGATCTGCCTCCGATGGGTACCACAGATGATGGAATAAATAGTTCCATTCCCTGTAGCACCACATCAGTGACAGAGTCAGCAACAGCGCTGGGATCATCCGGCGAGAAGCAAACCCGCCCCCATGGGTAGGATGCAAAGAAAGACCGCATTCCGTCCCAATCCGCCGACCTGTAATGCCAAACACGGCGGCAACCTGCAGAACGCAACCGCGAGGGGAGCGTGAGTGGCACCACACTATGCAACACCAAAGTATGCAAACCAACAGCATCACTACCCATCTCAATGTAACACAGGGCTGCCTCTTAGTAACACGACCTTCCTACCTTGCTTCCTACTTGCTTACACTAGTAGGATACCCTATCGGACATAGTAAAGACAGTGGGACTCTTAGAATTACAGACTGATGCCTCTTAGGGGCTTATGCGATTCTTTATACTACTAAAACAAGTGGGAGATTACCATTCTTACCTTCATTTGTTCGTACTTCCTTTTATTTTTTTACCCTCATTCCCAAAAATATCTACTGCACGAATGGCTTGGCTCGACTGGGAAAGAACCAAGCTCTCACAGAGTATCTGCGTGAAATAGCAGAATAATGATGCTGTGTTTCGTATGGTGAGTCCCTTTTTACTAGACCCTTCTTACTAGTAACAAGGCACTCCATCTTAGTCCTTATGGTGACAACGTATCTGCATTATGATTCTTAACCAATGATAGATGTAGATGTCTATGGGCAGCATACATTTATCATCAGGTGTGTGCTCGTTTATCATTCTAAAAAAGTTACAATCAATTTAGGTAACAGTACGGGTCTTAGGCCTCCTCTCACTTTTTATGTTAAGCTATGGAGCAGTAAGCCTGCCGCGTTCCAGTTCCAGTGCGTCTTGATGGACTTCACATGTCTTCGAAATATTTTTCTTCCCTAAAACATACAAGTTTTCTTTCCGCAAAGTACATACATCAATACTCATCACACACAATTTCATTGGTGCCAGCGGGATGGAACCGGGGTAAAATTTCCGGCCAACGCTTAGCCGCTTACCTACGACGGCTCATGTTTAGTACCTATTATTTATTTATTTATTTGAATATAATATTATAGATGTGATGTGTAATAAATTTAACAAAAGTTGGCGTATTTTTTTTTTGTTATTGCTAAATATTATAATTGTTTCACCTGACATATCTGTTGCCACTATTTGTACATTGTAGCCGAATAATACGTATGTTCCACTTATGGCAAGGGGTCTCTGAAATATTTTAAAATACTAGATTTATTTTAAAATATTATGCTAAAAACAAATTAAATAAAACATTATGAATTAAAGTAAAACTTTTCTACATTTACCTCTTTCAGCAAATTGCTAAACAAAGTACGTGATTTTTGTAAAAGTAGTTCATGTCTTTCACGTTTTCTCAAAAACAACTTTAATTCAAACTGAAAATGTAATAACTTAAATATATTAAGGTGTTTGTTGTATGCAGAATCTGAAATTGTGCATAACTCGAAATTATTTTCATAAGGGTATATAACAGCAGCTTCACTATACTCTCGAAAAGTATGTACTGTTGTACTTTTTATTCCTTTCCTTCTCAAGACTTTGACAAAAGCTTTAATATTTTATCACTTTACTTCGACCCGGTCTAAATAAAAACCAACTAAAAATATTTGATTTTTTTTTATAGGATAAAGGTGACAAACGAGCACACAGTCCACCTGAAGGTAAGTGGTTGCTGCGGCCCATAGACATCTACATATATCCTCGTTTGCGAATCAAAATGCAGATGCGTTGCCACCCGTGAGGACTAAGATGGAATGCCTCATTTCCAGTAAAAAGGGCCTCCGGCCACCTGCACTCACCAAGCGAAACGCAGAGGTAAACCTCTACTTCACGCTGGTATTCTGTGAGGTCGTGGTCCCACCCCGGTTCGAGCCGGCCCATCCGTGCGACAGCAAAAGCTGCCCCCTGGAGAATCCCTCGCTGAGCATCCACGACCATGTTATTTCGATCCTGAGCGTGGGTGCTCAGGCTGCCCCGCGTATTCTGGGGGGGGGGCAAAATTCCGCTCAAAAGCATTACTGCTAGGGGCAAACTGAGCAAGAACACCAAGGCGACCCCTGCCACGCTATCCGTGAATTTCTGCAACATCAGGGGACTTCACTCTAGCCTAAACGCCGTCCACTACCATCTCGAGACGGCGAAGCCGGCCTTGCTCTTTCTGACCGAGACGCAGGTTTCCTCTCCGGCTGATATTTCGTATCTCTCCTACCCGGGGTACAAATTGGAGCATTCCTTTGTGCCTCGGGCTGGAGTTTGCGTGTATGTCAGAGAGGACATCTGTTCTCGACGCCTCGGCAGTCTTGAAGGTTCGGACCTGTCCATCCTTTGGCTATGCGTAGACAGCGACGACCATCCGCGCGTCTACGGGTGCCTCTATAGGTCCCATAGCGGTAATGCCGAAACAGACCGACTCATCGACCACGTCCAAATGGCTACAGATTTCGTGCTACAACAGGTCCCATCCGCAGAGATCGTGATCCTTGGCGATTTTAACGCCCACCATGCCGAATGGCTCGGTTCACGTCTAACCGATCATGCGGGGAGATCTGTTTATGACTTTGCCTTGGCATATGGTCTGACACAACTGGTTACTTCGCCTACGCGGATTCCAGATGTGGAGGATCATGCACCTTCCCTGTTGGACCTTCTGCTGACCTCTCATCCGGACGGATATCAGGTTTCCGTCGATGCCCCTCTCGGCTCTTCGGACCATTGTCTGATCCGGAGTGTGGTGCCACTCACGCTCCCTTCGCGGTTGCGTTCTGCAGGTTGCCGCCGTGTTTGGCATTACAGGTCGGCGGATTGGGACGGAATGCGGTCCTTCTTTGCATCCTACCCATGGGGGCGGGTTTGCTTCTCGCCGGATGATCCCAGCGCTGTTGCTGACTCTGTCACTGATGTGGTGCTACAGGGAATGGAACTATTTATTCCATCATCTGTGGTACCCATCGGAGGCAGATCTCAGCCTTGGTTTGGTCGCTCCTGTAAGACTGCATTACGCAGTAAGCAGGAGTGTTATCAAGCCTGGGCTGCGGCTTCGGCGACTCGGGATGTAAATACCAGCACACTTAAAAAGAAGTATAACTTCGCCTCCAGGTCCTTCAAAAGAGTTATTGCCAAGGCAAAGTCAGAGCACATAGGCAGAATTGGCGAGAAACTAGTTCGCCTTCCTTCGGGAACCCGTGCATTCTGGTCTCTCGCCAAGGCTGTCCAAGGGAATTTCTGTAAGCCATCACTACCATCTCTGCACAGGGAGGATGACTCACTGGCCCATGACGCAAAAGACAAAGCTGACCTTTTAGGCTCCCTTTTTGCGTCCAACTCGACTCTTGATGACGGGGGGAAAACACCGCCGACCATCCCGCGGTGTGAGTGCTCCATGCCGGATGTGCTGTTCTCACAGCGCTCGGTTCGCAAAGCACTGCTCTCCCTGGACATCCAGAAGTCGAGTGGGCCTGACGGAATTCCCCCAATTGTGCTGAGGACGTGTGCTCCGGAGTTGGCACCGGTCCTAACGCGTCTTTTCCGGTACTCCTACTCCCAAGGCGTAGTCCCGAATTCATGGAAGACAGCTTTTGTCCACCCGATCCCTAAAAAAGGCGACCGCTCAGACCCATCCAACTATAGGCCTATCGCGATCACCTCCTTGTTCTCCAAAATAATGGAATCCATTATTAACTGCCAGCTCATCCGGTACCTTGAGGATCACCAGCTGATTAGTGACCGCCAATACGGTTTTCGTCGGGGTCGATCAGCTGGTGATCTTCTGGTCTACCTGACCCATAGATGGGCGGAGGCAGTAGAGTCCAAGGGGGAGGCGTTGGCCGTTAGTCTGGACATTGCGAAGGCCTTCGATCGGGTTTGGCACAAAGCGCTTCTTTCGAAGCTCCCTTCCTATGGGCTTCCCGAGAAATTGTGCAATTGGATCACCAGCTTCCTTGTAGATCGGAGCATCAAGGTCGTTGTAGACGGTGCATGCTCTGACTACAAGCCTATTAACGCTGGTGTTCCACAAGGCTGTGTGCTATCACCAACGCTGTTTCTTCTGCATATCAATGATATGTTGCTAACTGGTAACATTCATTGCTATGCGGATGACAGCACTGGTGATGCTCTATACACCAGCCGTGCCAATATTTCTCGGGAAAACGTCGCTGAGTACCGGAACAAACTTGTGTCTGAAGTCGAGTCTTTGCTGAACAAGTCTCGGATTGGGGGCGACTAAATCTAGTCCAATTTAATCCTCAGAAGACACAAGTTTGCGCGTTTACCGCTAAAAAGAACCCCTTTGTCGTATCTCCTCAGTTTCAAGGCACTCCCCTTCTTGCCTCAGCCAGTATCGGTATCCTCGGAGTCGACATATCGAGTGACGTGCAGTTTCGTGGTCACTTGGAAGGGAAGGCCAAATTGGCCTCTAAAAAGCTTGGCGTGCTCAGCAGAGCGGGACAGTATTTCATGCCGGCACACCGCCTGCTACTTTACAAGGCGCAAGTTCGGCCTCACATGGAATACTGTTCCCATCTCTGGGCAGGGGCTCCCCAGTGCCAGCTCCTTCCACTTGACCGCATCCAACGCAGAGCGGCTCGAATTGTCGACGACCGAGCCCTTTCCGATCGGCTCGATTCATTGGCACTGCGAAGAGATGTTGCATCCCTTTGCATTTTCTTTCGCAGATTCCATGGGGAGTGCTCTGAGGAATTGTTCGGATTAATCCCAGCCGCCAAATTTCACGAACGCACATCGCGGCAGAACTCCCGATACCATCCACACCATCTGGATGATTGGCGGTCCACCACTGTGCGATTTAGAAGATGTTTTCTTCCTCGCCCGACCTCCTTGTGGAATCGATTACCATCAGCGATTTTTCCGGACCGATACGACTTAGGGACCTTCAAGAAAAGAGCGTACTCCTTTTTAAAAGGCCGGCAACGCATCTGCGATTCCCCTGGTGTTGCAGTTGTTCATGGGCGGCGGTAGTCACTTACCATCAGGTGAGCCGCATGCTCGTTTGCCCCCTCTCCTATAAAAAAAAAACTAAATAGTGACGTTTACTGGATAACAGAGGGCACTTAGTACAATAAAAATAAATGTTCTAGAACATTCTACTAGAAGTAATAAAATTTAAAGATTATTCGGTAAATATATGTTATATATATAAACCGAAATCACGTTCACTTTTTGCTCCATATCGTAACTTACAATATCTTAATGCACAACCGGGCATATTTTCTTTACAAACATTTTTTAAATATATGAATCGAATGCGTCTTTACTTTTTGACGATGTCACTAAGACTAAATGACAAAAATCGGAGATATATCCTATAGTACATAAGTTACAGACGACAATTTTACTGCTGATGTCCGGTCTATAACTACTAGTACTTAAATGTCTTTGTTTTACCTCATTTTTCAGTCTTTCTTCATTCCAATTACCTATCAATACGGAATTATTATAATTCATTTTTAGACCTATGAACGTAGTTGGAAATATGATTTTAATCAGATTGAACCCAACTGTAATTCAAAATTTCACAAATTACCTTTAAGCATAGTATTCTTTATTTAAGGTTGCCATAGGAACCAAGTAGAATATAGTCCATAGATAAATAAATATGTAGCAAGATATAGTCACTACGTTTGATGGAAGGACTAAACGTAGTAATTATATTCTCTTTGGGAACGACCATAAAGAATATTGAACAAATAAGGAATAAATATCATATTCGGGAACATAGACTTAGATATTACGACGACCTGAGAGCCCGAAAATGTGTAACCATTTTTGATTTATCATTGTGTGCGTTACTAGCTAACTATTGCAAACGTTTCTGTTATAGACCATTCCCCGAGAAAGAAAAAAAATGAAGAAAACTATTCATATTTTTCGGAGAAGATTAGATATGAAACAAAAAAAACCGAAAAATGTTAGAGCACGAAAAAACGGGCTAATAAAAAAGTGGAAAAGTTGTATCAAGTGATAAAAAACCTAGAAAGGCTTCCCTCACTTCAAAATAACATTAGTGCTGTAAAAACATCTAGTTCAAACGATTTGATGCAGCATCTCATCGAAAAGGTGATTAAGAAAAAGTTTATGAGATAGGTATTCGTTCTGAACGAGTTTTCCGAAAACATGTGAAAGGAAAATTGTAAACGAAAATATGTTTAAAAAATTAGTAAACGAATGCTTTGTGTCCTGCAAATTTTTTTTAACATACTTGACATACATATGTACGATTCGCCAGCATTTTCAAACCATAAACACTAAATTATTAAATTAATAATCGAAATTTAATAAAATAATAATCAAAATTGCATAATACCTCTTAAGCAGAGCTTACGACATTTTTACAATAAATTAGTTATTTTTGGTGGAAAATAAAAATCACAAACTTTTTGTTAGTAGTTTTATTTTTATGCCCTCACATAAAATAATATTAATTTTATGACACAGACACAGCGTTCTGTATCGATAATTGAAGTTGATACATGGTGCAGCACTATTGTTGTCGCACACATGCACATTTCACTCACACGGGTACATTTCGTTTTTGGTCTCACTCTAATTACGCCATCGCCAATCTAATGTATACTATATCTATGACATTACTAAGCTAGTGATGTAAATTTTACTTACACAAGCAATGACAAATCAAAATTGGTTACACATTTTCGGGCTGTCAGGTCGTCTATACGCAAGTATATTTTAAGTCTATGCTCAAGTATACCTCAAAACTTGTAAACAAAGTTATACAACCAGTGTGTGTTGCCAGTGATGACATATGGATCTGAGACGTGGTCCTTCACTGCTGGCGGAGCAGGTACGCTCGCACGAATATATTAAATTTCGGGGAAAATGATATTTTCTCGAGAAAACGGGGGATAAAAATGAAACTCTCAATTAAAAATATTAATATTTTTAAGACCTTTTTTTAGTATAAAAAACTATTTAAAGAGCTTGTGCCGTTTTGGAGAAATTTTGCAAAATATGACAAAGATAGGTACACTTTGGGGATTTTTTTTCTAATAAGGGGTTGGCGAAAATACAATTTTATTCAATTAAAAACATTTAATTTAACAGTGGTAGAGCCACGCGGCAGCTTTTGCTGTCGCACGGATGGGCCGGCTCGAACCGGGGTAGTACCACGACCTCACAGAAAACCAGCGTGAAGTAGAGGTTTACCTCTGCGTTTCGCTTGGTGAGTGCAGGTGGCCGGAGGCCTTTTTTACTGGAAATGATGCATTCCATCTTAGTCCTCACGGGTGACAACGCATCTACATTTTGATTTGTAACAGAGGATATATGTAGATGTCTATGGGCCGCAGCAACCACTTACCATCAGGTGGACTGTGTGCTCGTTTTTCACCCTTATCCTATAAAAAAAAATTAAATCCTCTTCTTTGACCCTGTATTTCTTTTTTGCTGATTAAATGAACAATTATTGTGATTTTTTTACTTAAACATCCAAGAAATTAGACATTTCATCCGCAGTTATTGTAATACTAGCTGTTACCTGCGGCTTCGCCCGCATGGTCACTGGGAAATGAACTATCCATTGCTTTTTGAATTGAAAGAAAACTGAGTTTTATAGATTTGTTAGAAATGCAGCCATTAGAAGGAAACTGAGCAAAATTGATTCGTCAGCCTATTTAAATGTTTTGAAACGCAGCGTATAGGAAAGCATGAAAATAGCCTGTTTATTCCAAATGGAAATGGAATATTTTTTTTAATTAAAGGAAACTGAGCATAATTATCCGTCAGAGATACAGACTTTTGAAAAGAAACTAAGCTAAATCGATTCGTCAGAGATGCAGTTTTCTGAATTGAAAGGAAACTGAGCCAAATAAAAGATCCGTCAGAGATGCAGCCTTTTGAGTAGAAAGGAAACTGAGCTTAATAGATCCGTCAGAGGTGCAGCATTTGGAATTGAAAAGAAACTGAACTGAGGGAATTCTGATTAATTGATTGTGGGAATTTTGGAAAAAAAAACTAACTGAACACTATTTTAAGACGCTACTGTACACAATGTTATATGTTTTTCCATTCGGGGAAAGAATGTGGAGATTCTGGGCATTTGACACACGCGAACATGCTACATACAGCTGACCATGAGAGAAGCACGGTTTTTCTAAGTTGACCCCCGCTACCTGTAACGTTTGCCCTTGCGCTATATTAATTGTCATTGCAAAACTGAGCTGAACTTAAACTGAACTGAAACTGAGTCAAAATTGTAGCACCGATTATGTTCCGTCCAAGATGTGTCACACGCAGCCTTGTCCCGTTACGTAACCGAGGAGCATCTAAATTTCGCATTAGCATGACTGGGATGCCCAATTTTTATTGAAGCTTATATGAGGGCACACCTGACAACTCTAGAGAATTTAGAAACTCTACGGGATATGAAGTGCTCTGTTCTGTGTCCATAACTGTGTCTACTGACAAATACTCTGTTATTTCTCCCGCTACTTCGCTTAATATATCTGAATTTATTTTGTTAACGCTCTCATATTTTGGTGCAAGAATCGCCCTTTCACATAACCATTTGTCTTCATGCATGTTGTTCGTTAAATCTGAATAAACGCTCGCAATTTATTCGGAATGACTCTGTACTAAATTACAAAACTCTCTCGTCAATTTAACGCAGCCCTCAGCATCCGTTTCCAACCGCCCATCGCCAATTTTTAATAGTGGTGTCAGCATAGTTTCCAGCATTGATATCATTATACAAATGCACTCTCATATTCGTAGTTAAACTGAATTTTGTCACCTTGTTCCATAAAATAGACGACTTGAGGCATGCTTTAATTTCATCTGCAGGTGTGCCCTTTTGAATGAAAGGTAAATTTTGGCGAAAGTCACCAGCCAGTAAAACCACCATACCTCCCATTACATCAGTATTGCTGCGCAAATCCTGGAGCGTTCGATTTAATACTTCTACAGCTTTTTTATGCGACATTGTACTTTCGTCCCACACAAAAAGTTTGAATTGTCGTAGCTTTATACCTCGTGCACTATTTTTGCTAAAGTTGCAGATCGGCGATTCTTCGTGGGCTAGATTTAGAGGGAGTTTTAAAACAGAATGTGCAGTGCGGCCCCCGCTTAGCAGCGTGGCGGCTATACCGGAGGAAGCTACGGCCACAGCAATGTTTTTATCTTTCCGTACTTGCGCTAATAATAAATTTAACAAAAATGTCTTCCCAGTTCCTCCAGCGGCATCTAAAAAGAAAAGTGTACCATTTCCAGATTCAATTTGTCCTAATACTTTGTCAAAAACTCGTTTTTGTTCGGGAAGCAATCGGGGTACAAATTCGGCTACTTGCTTCTGCAAAGCTGGTATATCGTAGTTTGTTTCACGTATAATTTCATCACTTAGTTCAATTTCGGTTGTTCGCTGAGGGCTTATCATTCCAAAGTCGCTTAATTTTTTGCCTACCGTTGCCATTACTTTATCTTCAATTTTTCCAAGTGCTTCATTATAAATGTGTTCATTGTATGTCATGTTCGCGTATGTCTGCTGTAACCTTTGCAAAATATCTTCCGCCATGTACTCTTTATATTTGTCCCACAATTCATGTGCATTAGATAGCCCGCAAGATGATATGAGAGTTGCATAAAGATCCCTAATTTTGGCTGGTGACTGGCACTGCACAGCTTCCTCCATGGTTTCATCCCAGTGATTATCGTTTTTTAAAAGATGCAGAGCTTCACATGCTTCTCTATAAGTTGCGCATTCCTGACCGTTGACAGTTTTAAGATCTTTATATCCTGTAGGACCCCGAACATGGTGCAGCAGCAATCGTAAACAGAAACATTCAAAATTAGTTACATGGACGGTATACACACGACCAAGGGCATCTGATGACTTTACACCGGGCCAATTTGCAACAGGCGCGCCTTGAATACGGCGTTTCCACTCCTTCCTAGATGTGTTCCAAGTATAATAGCGGGAGACTTCAGAATATAACAACGTTTTTGCAAAGGGGTCGGTTTGACAAAGTTGAAAGAAGGCTGTTAGTGTAGTTTTTGGCGGTGATGCAATTCTTTCTTGGAAATTTCTTTCGGTGAAATATACACGCTCTCCATTTTCTAAGTGCACAGCAAGGTGAGTAACTGTTGGGTGCCTTTCGTGTAAAGGGAAGCCAAGGAGACGCCACGCTGCCTCGTTACTGCTGACATAACGCCCTGCTTGAAAGGTCTGTACTTCATTAACGGGATTTGCCTCACCTTCACTCTTGAGATTAAATATTGCTTGGTCGCTTCCTTTATTTATGTACTTACAGATATACTTGATTCCGCGGACAGAGCTACATGCTTCTACATTAATGTTGGCATTAAACATTTTACATAGAATGGGTGAATACGGGACAACCCAGCTGTTATCTGAGGTTGCGAACGCTCCAGAGCGAGATTTGACTGTAACTTTCCTGCCACCATCTTCGGGAGCTCTGCGTCTGTATAAAGGG